AAGAAGAGGTATAGATTGCAATCGGCCGATGATCACTTCTTCTCGCAGTTAGGTGCTTCACATGAGTGTGAGGGAAATTTTCAAGCCAAGAGGTGGAACAGAGACCTCTATCAAGGCATTCAAAGGATTAGTCCTGATTGTCTTCTGTTGGACCAAGTGAACGCCTGACCTCTAAAACCGAGATCAATTCAACCACAAAAGCTCTGTGCCTCTGTCATATGATCGAATTTCTTGATTTGTGTGTATTCCAGCTGCCGACCTCTACAAGGTCATTTGTTCACCTACCGTTCCAGTAGATCAGCTATATTATCTGAATCTTCACCCAGCCCTCTTCTCTATACTCATTGCTCCATAATATTTGGATTTAACGTTATGATTTTACAGAACCCAAGGCAAGTATATTTTATTGATTGATATAGTATAAATGTATCTTTCGATAGTTTTGCTGCTGTCTACTCTTCTTTTTCTTATAATCTGTTTTTTTTGTTTCAAGTCCATGGTCATGGAAAGAAATAAAAGAAAACTCAAATTGGAAACCTATAATCTAATCGCATTTTCTATAATTTGCATGCGAAAACACAGGTGTTGAACAAGAAAATGAGATTTAAAACATACATACGAGACCATAATTAGGGTGGACCTAGGATCTCCTGCCCATAAGATCCTACCAATAGAACATTACATCTGTACATTAGGAACATCTCCCCATAAATAGTAATATGTAAATACGGAAGATATTCCCAATGCTTTTAAGTGGGAATGGATTGGTAATGAACTGAAATTTTGTGTTGGAATTTTAAACTTGAGGTTAAGTGTTTGGATATATTTAACGCATGCATTGTTTGGGAATTGAAATCTGAATCTCCAATCCTTAGCGTTTTTCACAACTCCCATACACATAGGGGATTAGCCGATCGATATCCCAGTAGTTGAATTGATCACTCGGCACCATTTCAAAAAAGGAAGCAGAGGATCAATTGCAGGCTCTAGGTCACATGGGTACCTTGCTCAGTCCTCATTCTTGAGTCTTAATACCAAAGAAATACCCATAAGAAAAATATAATGCCCCGTATATTGGGAACATCTTCCAATGATAATATCAGAATCGATGATGTCATCATCGCCATCGGGAGATGTTTCCAATACACGACGGAGATGTGCTGTGGGGTATTGTGGGATGAGATGTGATCTCTACTACATCGTTAATAAAAGAAAAAAAATAATAATAATAACAATAAAATAATAATAATGGTTTAATTCATGGATTTTAAAATTGAATCGGTCAGGGGTCCGGTTACCAAGTCGAATGGGCCGACCGTTTGAACCAAACGCTCGGCCTGTTCTGACAAAAAATAAAAAAAAAAGTGGTCAAAACCGTTCGAACAGTTAACTGCCCGATTCAATGGTTCGCTAGCCAGAATCAACGGTTTGGAGGGGAAATCCAGTTTTTGGGGAAAATGGAACCGATCACCTGATCGGTTCCCTTTTTTCCAGTCCGACCGTCTGGTCCGGTCCGGTTTTGAAAACCATGGTTTAATTTATAGCTCCATTATGAATTATACAAATTTATAATAATGACAAAATAGGTAAATGTCCTTTCTATTTATATTTTAATAATCTAAAAAAGAAAATATAAAATAATTTAAAAAACAAGTCATGTGAGTTTATTTGAATTTTGGAATAAGATAATAAAGGAAAATAGAGAAAAAGGAATATTTGTTTAGAATATCTAACAATCATCATTAATAAAAGGGAAAATTCTCGATTAGTACCCTGTACTTTGGGGCTAGTGCCACTTTGGTCCCTAAACTTTAAAATGCGACAATTCAAAGCGTGACAATCTAGTGCCTGCTATTTACTTACTATTAACCAGCCGTTAAGTGGCATTTAAAAAAGACATAAATGCCCTTTGAGTGTCATCTGATTTTCTTTATCAATATCCAATCATTGACAAAAAACTAATAGTCTCAAATCTCTGCCTCTTATATTCAAGAAAGTTGGGGTCACGGGAATGCCCATTCAAATGTGACCCCAACTTTCTTGAATGGAAGAGGTAAGGATTTGAACATGTTAATTTTTTGTCAATGTTTAGATGGTTGATAGACAAAATTAAATGACACTTGAAGGACATTTGTGTTTTAAAAGTTTGGTGGTGATAGTACGATTTAAAAGTTTATGTTTATCAAAAATACGAAAAACCAATTGTTTACAAACTAGAGTGATATAACAAACATTTCAAACATTTTAGGCCAAGTGAATTATTGTTCATGTGTCACCCAATTGGAATGAGCTTTTAATTCACAAGAGTGTTATTGCAATCGACGTGCATTTGAATTTCCATATGAATTCCAGTTTACACGATCCAAATGCACCATATATAAGACCAAGAGATATGTTCTATAGATGCTCTAACGGTGAAAAAAGTAGTAATATAGGAATCTTTTGGCGACTATTTTGGTTTCCCTTTTTTTTTTCTTTATTTGTGTTCAAGGATAGAAAAGTGGATAAACTTTTTTTGGGTTTTTCAAATTTTAGTTGAGAATGGAAATATGGGATGGTTATAGGGTATTCCTGCTTGCTTTGATTTGCCGTGGATTTGAAATTGATTGATCTTGAGGGCTTATCAGGATGAAGTTGCTGTACCCCTTTTTTTTTTTGTGTGGTGGACAAATATTTGCACCTCTTTAGTCGTAATCCATAGCTAGCCTTGGCATGTGACAGCCTCCCAACAAATAGTACAAATTAATTAGCACAAAAACAGAAACACTAGTGGGTAGTGGCTAGTGCAATGCCCAAACAATATTTGAAGGCCTATCCATGGACAAGGATGTGTTGATGCCACATTAGAAATTGCTTTACTTTTTCAATTATTTATTAGCAAAAAGACTAATTAGCAATAAATCATTTATTTCAACCACTTTATCAAACAGCCCCCCGACTTCTGCTCCCACCACCACCACATTTAATTTCAACACAAACACACATGCGTTAATTAGCAGGTTTTTACATGCACACAGCATGCATGGCGAGCAATGGGTCCCGAGTAGACGGAAGAAGGCATAAAATTCCCTTGAGAAATTGGGAGGTCTCAAGTCTCAACTTTGTAGCTCTGTTTTGGCTCAGTTGCTTTCAAGAGTCCATATATATTAGCTGAATGCCCCTGTATTAATCAAAGTGTGTGTCCTACAACCAGTCTCAACCTCTCACTTAATTAGTGCATGGTTGGCATGCATTTTGTGTGGGAATTGGGATCGGATTGAGCTTTTGTCAAAATTTGAACTAACCTGAACCCAAAACAGTGTAAAATGCCAATGGTGTAACCTGCGAATCTGGTTAATGTACACATGATTCACTTGTTCACATGGCCACATATAACTGCATCAACGTCATGAGAATCCAGATTTGCTCCTCACAGCACTTTGGAGCCGCACATTCATGGGGATGGGGGAGATGCTTTGAATGCACACTGCACGGCTACAATGTGCTGTGTGAGGTGAGGACTGAGAATTTGCCTCATCACTGATTAAATTTGACTCCCATCCCCTAATTTCAATAGATACAATGTGGTGAGCCAATTTAATGGTGTTTGTTTTCAGAGATCTGATCAGCACCCCACATGCACTTCTCAGCGTGTATTGGGAACTTCTCTCGTAATCTTAATACATGATTGGGATGTGGGGCACGCAGCTGTGAATTCTTGTTTTCAATCCGTCACTCACCCGGCTTGTCTAATCGATGATTGGCCACAATCCTGACTTGGTTCAATCGGACTGGGTTTTAAAGCACTTTAATAGCTATGGAAATCTTTTTCAAAAATTGGAAATTGTGAAGATTCACTTCGCTTAATGGGGAGCTTGGGCTGCTGCCTGCTGGAAGATCATTTATGACTTAGCCCTGGCTTGGCCTGGCCTACAAATTTTCAGGCCTGGGTAGACTATTTTTTGGGAGTATTTATTTAAAAAATAAATGCTCAAAATAAGTGATTATTCTAATAAGGGTTTATGAGCATTTGTTGAAAAATCACTTATTTCAAACAAGGGTAGTATAGGTATTTTCTAAATGGCGTTATGGGCTAAGATAGGCCGAAAAAAATTATTTTCCAAACGCAAATAAGTGCTTATTAGTATGGTTTTTGTCTAAAATAAGTATTTATTTGCACTGTTTTCAAAACCGGACCATATCAGATGGTCGGACCGGAAAATCCGGGCCTGACCGGTTCCGTTTTCTTCCAAAACCGCTTTTTTCCCCAAAATCATTGATTTTGGTCAGCAAACCACTGAATCGGCTGGTTAACTGTTCAAACCGTTTTGACCGTTTTTCAATTTTTTTATTTTTATTAATCTTTTATTTTCTTCATCAGAACGGGCTGGCCGTTCAGGTCGAACGGTCGAACCGTTCAAACCGGTAACTGGACCCCTGACCGGTTCAGTCACCGGTTCATTTTTAAAAACCATGTTTATTTGAATAAACACTCCCAAACTTGGCCTAAGGCTTGGGAATTGTATATTATATAGGAAAATTAAAAATTTTAATTTCCCTAGTAAATTTTTAAGCTTTTTTTTTGTAATTTTGATTACAAAATTAAAGTAAAAAATTAATTTTTAAATATAAATACAATTAATTCATAATGGCCATTCCGGTTCAGAACCGGGGAGTCAGGTCCGGGCAGGCCTCACGGCCGTTAATACCCTGTAAAGACCTGGCCCATGATCATCCCTGCGCAAGAAGCTAGAAGCGTATGTGGTTGGCGATCAGCTAAGGGGACCCACGGATAGAGTTCTTTTTGAACCTTTGGAGTGGCATCATATAGGTTCGTGTAAAGAGATTCCAATCTGGCGTCATGAAACCACTCTAATCATATGAGGGAATCTCCAGTGAATCAAATCAGATGCCCCGCAGAGATGTGCGAATATGCGTAGACACCTGCAAGATTCGTGAGGATGCGCATCTTAGAAGAATTCCCTCGTTATTTTACTTCTTCCAGTTGGAGTCCTCCGAGTCCCAACTCAACCAACATTTTCATGAACCAACCTCCACTTCCTCGTCTCCTTCTCAAATTGTGCGCAGCAGCAGATCGCCTCGTCTCGCTCTCAGCTGGCGCCGGCAGGTTCCCTCTCACACTTTCTCTATCTGATTCGTGGTTTTATAAAAGCCTCCATCTTGTTCATTGTTTCTTCTGTTTGTAAAACCAGAGCTAATTTCATCTTACTTTCCAAAAAATATTTGATATAACTACTGTTTGCCTGTAAGCACCAGGAGAGTGTTGCTGTTGTTGTTGTTGTTTTTTTTTTTTTCTGATTGTTGAGCTTATAACCAGGATATATAACTGTTCAATCACGCTTCAATGACAGAACGGTCAACGAACCAATAAGTATCCAAGTTTTAAAAAGATAGAACTAATAAAGATTCTGTTGATGGGCATGGCCCCAAATCTAGTCTCAGCTGTATGTACAGCTGTAACCGATGTTAATGTGTTCAAAGCTTACACAGACATGGCTGAGTAATGATCAAATGAGATGGTTGCCAATCACTTGTGGGATTTAAGTTCGCTTGAGAATTGAAATACGTTTGTTTTGTGGGAAGCATATGGAAACTATAGAATCAGTTAACGCCTGAAAGGATTTCAAGTAGGAGAATCTTTAGGTTATAAATCAGCAACTTTTATCATAATCCACTCAACTTGCAAAATTCGTCGTTCAAAGGAATTTACACCATTTTCTCAATTTGGCTCTTCTTTATTTTGGCCCAGAAGACTAGGGAGTAGCAATTCATTTCCATCCCTAAAAATATAAAATGCAGCCTTGAACTGTAATTGAGAGAAGAGTGTCTTTTTAAAGGTTATGAAGATTATGAAGTATCGATATAAGAGGTAACTTATAATAACTACATTAGCATTCCTAATTTTGATTGAATATAAGAAATTACTTTACAGAATAAAATGCAGCTGAGATAGTGATAATGATGTGACAATAATAGGAAAGAAAGCCATAATATATGAGAAAAATTTTGAATCTGTATGTATTAACTGGAATACAGGATAATTTATGGGTAGTCATAGTGGCTGAAAAATATGAGAAGCAGCTAAGATGGTTTGATTTTGTGTGATGGAGACCCATGGTAGTACTTCTGAGGAATGATTTATGGAATGAGTAGTGACTAGTAAGAAGTGAGTTGAAACTTATGTCTTGATGGATGATACAACTCTTTATGGACTAGAATAGCAGAAAAGAATGCAAATTGATGGCATCATGAGGCTTGGACAATGATGCTGATAAAGATGATAACAATTAGTCCATAGAATATTGCCTATTGGAGACATTTCTATCAATGTGCTTCTAGAACTATGAATTTCTCTTGGAGCTTAACACTGAACATTCTTTAGATATTTATTTCAGAAAATCTGATGCCATGTTTTTAGTTCATACAATAACTCTCCTGTTATTTTGTTTTTTGGCTAATAGGAACATTAGATTGTTGCTGCTGGCGTGCTTCTTTCGATAAGTAACTTCAAGTTCTTGGTTGAAATTTATCCATTGTGGAATATCAGCAAATAGCTTATGAGTCCCGCATGTTCATTGAGCCCTTGTAAAGCCCTAGAAGGGGTCCATGGGGTACATCTGTTGCCGCATTCTCCATTTGTAGTGGAAGAGATCCCTCAATATGGGGACTTGCATCACTCAACCTCTGAAGAAGGTCCAGCTTTCGGTGCTAATCAGAAGCTATTAATGCAGTAGGTTCTAACTTCTAAGATATGATCTATCTCGATAAAGAATGAAAGTTATGCTTTATACTGTTTATCCTAAGATATTTTTCTTGATAAAAATCTAGATAGATATTATCAGAATTCTGATGTTCAAAAATTCCTTACATATGCTTGTGTGGAGCAGCATATGTACATAAACTATAAAACTTAGACATTGGCACATGTCAATGACCGAAACAGATAAAAAGGTTGCAGACACAATGACCTCCAGAAGTCCAAAACCTGGCAAATTTATAAATTTCGTTTTTCACATAACATAACAAAAAATATATATCATCAATCTGAGTACAATATAGATATAATGTGCATATTCCCATTATAGTCAGAAAATATGATACATGTGTCACTGAAATCTGTCAGATCTAATGCATTGTTGTGCTTTGACACTTGAGAATAAAAGAAGAATAACACAGTCAAATATCAGAAACTAATATCCTTGTTAGATAGCATATAAAATCATATTAGTTTCCATTGCTGCAATATAATATAAAAAGTTAAGTTACTTCTGCTTTGTGTTCATCAGGCGACTTTGGCAGCAGAGACCACCATGCTTAAAACCCATCTGTTGTAACCTCCAAGGTATTCTTAATAGAAGTTACTTTCTTAATATGTTATATTAGCATGGTATGCATGATGCACTGTTTGTCCCAATGCTATTGCCTGGTGCATGGATTCCTAGACAAACCTATTTCTGTTTGCTCATGTTTTACCTCCTTTCCTGTTTTAGGTGATCAGAATGTCATAGAGACAATAGCTAATGTGCTTACATCACTTCCTTTTATTGCCCTTGGAATCCAGGCACCAAGGTAAGAAAGCAAGTGTTCATTACGATATCATTTGGCTTGAAAATTATATCATTCCTTCAATGTCCCTAAGAACATTTTACTGAGGTTTCAGGAAGAATTTGAATTGTACACTCTATGCTAATTCATTAGTTGGAGTTGGAGTAGCATCAATTTTATACCACTCCTCGAGGGGAGAACTGAGGAAGTACTTAAGATGGGCAGACTATACAATGATAGCAGCAGCAACAGTTGTAAGTTAGAGTTTACCTAAAGATCCTACATACAGTTGGTTATTTTATACATCAACTCATATCAAAAGCAACAAATGAATTAAGGAGCTCCAATGATTCTGCAAAGTAAATTGTTATCTAAATGAATATGAGTTTTATTCACATTCTATTATTTAAAGAATGTTTTTATATCCTGTTTAGCATTCATTCATGAATAATCAAGTGGAAAGTTGTAGCAAGCTTGACTACATCAATAGCACTTGTTTTTAGAACTAAAAAGGAATCTATTTCATTTTGGTCTCATCAAACTAATCTTTGATGGGTGCAGCTTGGGGAATTTAGGACTCTCTAGCAGTGTTGTCAGATCCAGGCTGCATTGGATGGTTGAACCACTGACCAGGTGACCCAGTGGCCTTTTCTGGGTCCTGGTTAAATGAAGGTTTTCATGGTTTGAATGGGATAACCCTTTGTTAACCGGAAAAGCTATGAGCCAGTGAGCATTCTGGTTTTCTGACCAATACGAGTCTGACAACATTTGCTATCTAGTATAGGGAGAGTATTCAGAAAAGGTGGTGGAAATATGTTGGTTTTGTTCTTAGAACCAATTGGCTGATGTGATTCAACCATGAGCTGAACTGGTGTCTGTGTTGCAAGAATTGCGAATAGCTAAATCTCTCAATTATTGTAATCTTCTGATGAAGGGGACTCTATAATAGTTGTGGACTGGCTAAGGAAAAACAATACTGGATCTTGGGTATAAGAAATATCATCATGGACTGAAGACAATCGGAAGAGGGAAAGAAAACAAGCTTTAAGTGGACACCAAGGTCTTCCAGTGGCCTGGTAGATGGGCTAGCAAAACAAGGAGCCACTAGGAATTAGTTGTTTTGCGGTTTGATCCCCTAAAGAAAATTGTAAGAAAAACAGATTAATGACTACTGGTACTAGGCCAAATTGTGGGGGGGGGGGGKGGAACATAAAAAATAAAAAAGGAATCTATTTCCTGCCTCATCCTCACTCAAGACCTCTTCACTGATGTGCTAACCAAACAATATTTCTCTCTTAGTGCATTTTAAATTTGTATGTGGACACATTATTTCATTAATAAATCAAGAAGTCTAAAACCAGGTTACTTCAGTATAATGCTATATCAGAGCAGCATAACTTGAATGGATGGAAGTCAATAGGTTGTAAGTAAAAATACCCTTACTCCCTCCCTCTCTTAGGTTGGAGAGCCTCTATTTAGTACTAGATTTGGCTATATTAGAGAAGTTTTCATTCAGCTTCTCTTTGGAGTTTGGTTTTTTGTAGGGGTAACAGATATTCTGAAATTCTAATTTTATACCTTTTATTTTATACTATAAATGTGAATTCATTTCTGAAAATAAAGAATATTATAGGGTCTAATCCGTAGAAAAGCATAGCATTTACCCAATTACCCTTAAAATTGTTTTTCATGATATTCTAAGTTTTTTCTTATCTCCTTCCTAGGTTGATTGGGTGTTTTTGATTACTTTTAGAATGAAGGCTTTTGGTTGTTATATTGCTCATTAAAACATAAAATACTTATGCATCTGTGGAATATGTTCATATCTAATAGGGAGTTGGTAAAATCATATATTTCTGCATTGTAATTTTTCCACTGTTGCATGGACACAGATACAAGAGTCAGAACCCGATGCATGTCCAAGAATCTGGCTTGGCAATATGAAAAAACATGGACTCATGGACACGTCTATGGAAAAATGTGCACTATTAAAATAGTTCATATTTTGAATTCTAACATTATATACCTACAAAAATGTTGCCTTTGTTACCAAGTAACATTTGATATGAAAAATGGCATTCATCTTACACATTATCTGTTCATTTATGTCAACTAAGCTAGGAGATAAAAAAAGGAAATCTTACATAGAAGTTTCCAGAATAATAAGTAGAGTATTGGACCTCAATGCATGTCCTACATGGAAATGTCATTCATTTAGGAGAATCTGCAACACTGAGTGAAATATGGTGTTACTTCTTACATAGAAGTTTCCAGAATAATAAGTAGAGTGTTGGACCTCAATGCATGTCCTACATGGAAATGTCATTCATTTAGGAGAATCTGCAACACTGAGTGAAATATGGTGTCACTTCCTGATAATTTAGAAATTCCCCGTGTTCCCCTACTATATGATAAGATTTAATGTTGAATTGGTGCTAATGACCTTCAAAAGAGGGTCAAAGTTTTGTGGAATTACCTTCCTTTAGTTACTCATTAAGATATTTTGGATGAAAGCAAGTCCAGGGTATTTTCGTGATTGATCGTGTGCTTGAGTGTCAATTCAAAAATTATGGCTGTTCATTTTAAGGGTGACTCATTAGGCATTTAATATTGAATTGCTCAAGTCGATGCATTGTGTTGGATAGATAGTGCCATCATGATCTGGCAATATCATAAAACTGAACTTTGATGGGTATTCAATTGGGAACCTGGTCCTTCAGGTATTGGAGGAGTGTCTCTGGTGTCTTGGGATTTGAAAACTGTTAAACTGGAAATTGATCGGAATCTGATTGGGAACCCAGTAAAAAGTTCAGGTCAAGTAAGGAACTTGCCTACACAACCTACACAATTTCTGCCACGTGGAGGGATGATTAAAGGACGTAGCTGGTGATGGACACTGGACAGGCATCCTAATTTGAAGAGGGGGATCTAGAAGGTTCTTTTGAAGAACTTTGATGGTTGCTCCATCTGAACAATGAAAGGATATTGTTTTTTTATGGATTTTTCTTTGTGAAAATCCAGAAAATTATAATCTGATTGAATGGAGGCCTTTTTCTGATCAGGGCCATTGGTTTTTGATTTCAAACATATTAATTAATTTTGAAGCAATTTGGAGCAGTATAGAGCCTTCCATGGTGATTTCTCTGACAAATGCTTACCACCAGTTTTTTTATTTAAATTTTTTTTTTTTTTTGGGGGGGGGGGGTTGATTTCTGGTTAGTGATAAGGATCCTTTCATGGACCTTCTGGTATGCCAGATCAGTTCAAACCTCTTCTTTATCACTCATGTTGCTTTAGTCTTGGATTTGTTATTGTTATGGGATTGTTGTTCCACAACCTGTTTTAATTATCTTTACTTTTTGCTTTAAAGACTTCCCTAATTCTTGCTTTCAAATAATTCTCCTTCTAGTGGTATGAATAAATGAACATTTGTTGCAGTGTCTTTCAAGGGCACTCAGGAATGAGAATCCAAAATTGCTTATGGCAGCTTCTGCTGTTTTTCTTCCAATCCAGCCTTTAATGGTTTCAGCTGTACACACTGGTTTGATGGAGGTAACTGATGCTTTTCTCCTCCTGTAATTTATTAGTGTTTTATTAAAGAAGGTACCAATTTATTAAATTTATTTTGTTATGATGTTTACATGTTACATAGTTACAAATCCTTGTAAGTAATGGTGATAATCTCATATTCTATGGATTGTCTTATTGAAACTTGTAAGTTTAACTGTTCTTGCTACCAGATTCATCCAATAATCGTTTTATATTTTAACCATAAACTATATTATCCTTTCTTTTGCATTATACAAGCTTTGAGGTGGTAGTAAATGAGGGCAATCAAGAAATTAAAAAAAAAATCTAATATTTCCTTCAGTTTTTTTTTTTTTTGGATATATCATTGCTCCCACAGGGTTAAACTTGCAACATGTAACTGTCTCTGGCACCTTGGTTGCACTTTTTGCTTGAAACTTTGTTAAACCTTGTTTGTTTGCTATGACTTCTAAGCCCTTGTATATCTTTACATCCCTTGCTCATGACTGAAATTGACAGGGATGCTTACTGCAGTACTTTTTTCTATTCATTTTCTTCAATTGCCACTACATCCATCCTATACACATTTCTGTCATGCACATCCAGTCGTAGGTGTTAATGAGTTCCAAAACAGCACCTCAAATTCACAGGTGGACTAATATTGGTCATACTGAATGTTGGGAGTAACTTCAATTGAATGATGGATACCCAGTCTTCATCGGTGTCAACCCTCCTCTTGTCGATACTATAACATGCATGTTTTCATTTACTTGACAATCCTGAGTGTAGAGAAATGCTTCTTTGCAGCTTCACATTCATATTGAAGGCATTCGTTGTACTTAAACTGGTTTTCTTTCTCTTTTTGTTTCCTTCCAGGTAGCATTTGCAAGAAGAGCACTAAACGACCCTGATCTGAGGATGGCCCACAATGTGCATAAGATGTCATCTCTTTTGGGAGGTGCTCTTTTTATTGCTGATGATATATTCCCCAGAACTCCATATCTTCATGCTGCATGGCATCTTGCTGCAGCTGTTGGTGTCGGGACATGCAACAAGCTTCTTAATTGATCTTCAATCTACCCTGCATAAATGAATTATTCTCTATAGTTGTAGAAGCCATCATTATAGTATCTTATTTTCTACTTTTAATTAGGAACACATCTTAAACAAAATCAAGATTCATGCCCCTCGGTGTCTCATCACCCAAAAAAATTCATGTAGTTGTTAGGATAGGGATAGGTGAAAGTAAGATATCTCTTTTTGGACTTTATAAAATTCATGTAACTGAGAGAGGAGGGGACTGCCATCTTTTTTATCAGGAGCATGGAATCAACATGTTGTTCCCACCTATCTCATTTTCAATGAATTAGGCTTTGAAAAATCTCAATCTGCTTAAAGCAATTCTGTTGTTGTTATCAGTGTTTTTGTGCATCAGCTAAGTTAGAAATTGAACTTTTTTCCTGCTAATCAATGTCAATAAGATCATCCTGGATCGATTGGGCAACAGTAAATGGAAATTTAAATATTATTATTTGTTGTAAGAACTAAGAAGCATCCACTTTTAGATCCATGGAATCCAACTTATGGAGGTGGTCTTCGTATTCTTGCTTTTCATTACTTGGTGATAACTTTTCTGTCTCATCCTTCCCAATGTTAAGGCTGTACTTTTATTATAAGTGACACCAAAAGAAAGAGTTCAGACAGAGAAGAATACACAGGATTTAATGTGGTTTGGCATTTTTGTGATAGAAGATCGCTGTGAAATGTATTTGTTCTCAAATACTGTATACAGTATACAGCCCTGTTGAACAGTTTGCGTCTTCTAATTATGTTTCCTAAGGTTTCGTAATTTGTATACAACCGAGAACTAGCAAAAGTAAAACGTATACCAAATGTATACGCCCACATGTAGGGGCATCCACGGTTCGGTTTATCGTGGGCAATTTTTGCAAACCAAACTGGTATCACTGGTTTTTCCATTTCTCCAAACAGAAACCGAATCGGTACCACCGGTTAATCGGTTTGCCGGTTTCGGTTTTTGATCGGTTCAGTTCTTTAGTTTTTTAGTTTTTTATATTTATAACATATATTATATTATATAAATATATGTATAATATTATAGTATAAATAATAAATGATATATAATATATTATAAATATAATATATGTATATCAGTATATATATTTATATATATAATGAATATATATTTATATATAATATATAGAGAATATGTAACATATATTAAATATATATAAAATATACATATAAATATGTATACTAGTCGGTTTGGTTAACCGTCGGTTTTTTTTGTAGTTTAACCAAAAACTAAATCGGTCCTTTAGTTTTCAAAAATGTCAAACCGAAACCGAATCGATCAATTCAGTTAACTGCATTTTCCGGTTCAATTTTCTCAGTTCGATTTGGTTTTTCATAGACACCCCTACTCAGATGAATGATATATGGACGAATTTTGCTTACTGTCGGGCTGAGGGCTTATCCGGTCCAGTATGAATTCATTGCAGAAATACAGATGACCAGGTCCAATCCAATCTGATCAATACTTTTGATCATTCTGAACTGGTCCAATTCAATGTCGGGACCGTCTAAAGAATTTGGCTTTAATTTAGACAGGGTCCGACCCAAAACTGGTCCATTAATTAACATCTGTACTTTTACCTCATGTCAATGGACTGGACCAATTCAATGTCTTATTTGATCTTTACAATCCATTCAATCTGATTTTGATTTGGATGGGTCCAACTCAAAACCGGTCAACACCCCTACCCCTACGAACGCCTCAAAACTGCAGGTAATGGTTATCGAGTGTAGGAGAAGCTAAACTCTCCATTTTTCTGTTGAATTTTATTGTTAACACTACCTTTTGATACAAGACACTTTTCATCAGTTTGCACTGTAAAATGTCCCAACACCAAGAGGATCAAAACCTAGCATTCTAATAATCTAGTATGGAGATTAATAGGGTCCAAGTCAGTTTGGAATATGGCCCCAATTTTATGTTTAATGTATTTATTTATATACTAGAGTACTAACTTTCTTAGAAATTAACTATGCAAATGAGTGCATGGTTACACGGGGAACTAGTTGATGAATGTAGTTTTTTCTCACCTTTCTTTGATGAGTTCATTTTCTCTTTTCTTGTTTCTGCTAGAGGTGTAAATCAGATTGTACTGTTTGCGGTTTGGCATGAATTTGGACTGGCCCGGCCCAGCATGACAGTCTGTGGGTCGTGTTAGGCTCAACATGATGGTCTGTGCTGTGTTGGGTTAGAGATTTGTAATCCATGGGCCGGTACGGTATGGCCCGCAAGCTCATTTTTATAACTTAATTTTTATTTACAAGCAATTTTTTCTAGTTTAAGTGAGGGAACATGAGTGAACGTTCAAAAAATTATCCAGTTCTCGCCGCCATGGCACGTGATCTACTAACCCCTCCGGTGTCTACAATTTCATCGGAGTCTTGTTTTAGTACAAGTACCATGGTGTTGGACGACAAGAGAAGTTGCATGAATGATGAAAGTATAGAGATGTGCATCTGCTTTAAGGATTGACTAGATGTAGAAGATATATTACAAGACAAATGAGGGCATGATACTACACTAGATATTTCACCTGAAGCAGATGATGAAAGTCATGATTCATGAACAATAGTTGACTAGTTGTATAGATTTTTTTATTTTTTTTCAAATTATTGTAAATTTTGTTTTAATTTTATTTAATTTATTTGCTATTTTTAACAATGTAATTTTGTATTTTCAATTTGTAACTATATTGTATTTTTTATATTTTATTAATTTATTCCATTTTCATATTTCATTCATCCAAGTATCCAACCATTGCATGCTTTGTAATTTGTATCATTCAAATTTAAATGAAATAAAATTCCTATTTTTTCTTCAAATTTGTTATTTCATCATTCTTATTTGGTTAAGTATTTTTTCATTTATGTGTTAGATTTCTCATTTCTTAAATTTTCAAATAGTTCCCACTTCCCAAAACTCAAATGAAAGTTAAATATTTTAGTTTTACACTTTTTCTTAGAAAAGAAATAAAAATTTTCAAAAACAAAAGGTCAAAAGATCAGTTTAGCCTGGTTCGGCCCAGGCCCAAGGCCCGCGACACGGTACAGGCCCGCATAGGCCTGGGCTGTGGGCTATGCCGGGTCGACCCCAAAAATTTTCACCGGGGAGGGCAGCATGGCCTATGACAACCTACAGGCCAACGTGGCACGGCTCGCACTTTGCGCGGGTCACTCACAGGCCGGGCCGTGCCGGCCCGGCCTAGCCCACTATATACCTCTAGTTTTAGTCTCTGCCTCTAGGAGATGGGTTTATTCATGGTTCAAAGTATCAATACGATATGCCCGATACAGGGCGTATTATATCATATCTTTTGAAAAAATACGGTCTGAAACGCTTGTTTCTAGGTGTTTCGGACCCCCAATTTTTTAATAATAAAAAATATCTTATAAGCTTCCCAAAAAACTAAACTTTGAAAAAAAAGTATGTATCGGCCGTTTCTAAGTACCGATACGATACGACCGAAACTCGTATCGTATTGATACTTTGAACCTTGGGTTCATTGCCTCCTTCACTGTGAAACCGATAAAATGTGGAGTTGGTTAAGCAGTTTGAAATTTTGCTAGTGTAAGGTGGTGGTGGTACGAGTGATCTAGCGTCTGTTTGACATCGTTGTCATTGTTCCAGAAAAACGGTGACACATTAGTGTCATGTCGGAAAAAACTGTGCTTTAGGAAACGCCTGTTTGTTTAGAACCATTTTCCATAAAAAAATGATGCTTCGAGCCACACCTTGAAAATCGAGAAGGTGTGGTTTGGAGCAATGCCGAATTTGGCATTTCTTGGAGCTGCATCTCGTTGCTGCCAACAGGGACATGAAGTGGCAGTGACGATGACATGACGTGACACTGGATAATAAGTACCAACGTTAAAAATGTTTCTTGGAGCATTGGTACCAATTAGAAAACACTTCTGTTGTTTCAGAAAATGCCCTACTTGGTAGCAACTTTTCACAAAAAAATATATATATATATATCGTTTTCTCAAAAAATGATGCTTCCAACCCACGCATCAATAATACCATTTTCTCAATAGTGCTGTATCTACAACACCGATGCCAAACATATACCTAATCTTTAAAGTTGAGAAAATGAAAACTAGATAAATTAGGGTTTTGACTTCGCAATTGGGAAAGCAGTAAGGATTAGAGAGCCCCTTGAATGGATTATGGAAAGGCTCCCTTATTATAAACAATGAAACCATATATACATGCATGGAAAGGGAGATTCCAAAACATTCTCAAATCGGTTAGGGTTCAATACTTCAAAGTTCAAATCCCTAGATTGATTTTGTAGGGATACATGCCAAGTCATAGAGTGGGATTCTATGTTTAAATAAAAAATAGAAAGATCTTGTATCATTGAGAATGTGTAATTCCATGTTTAAAATTTTGGATGTTTGAAGGCTTAAAAACATAATAATAATAATTGGATGTTTGAAACAAGAAAACACATGAAAATTAAATAAAGGATAAGTAATCTCCGCCACTATGGGGTGTTTCACATTGTGTCTGATTCCCCTAAACTAGAATAAGTTAAGCAAATAAATCCCCTATCTAATATCTATATTTATATTATCTATAAAAAAGTGAATGTCCTTTTTTTCTGGAATTTTTATTAGACAATTTCTACTCTTTATTTAAGCAGCATACAACGGGCATCAAAAGGGCATATGTGTCTTTTATTCTCACTCCAAAAACTGTTCACTTATAACAATTAAGAAATTGTCCATTTATAACTGTTCAAAAACTGCCAATGAATTGTAAATAGACATGTTCATGGACTAGATAGCCCGACGGGCTAGCCCGGCTTGGCCCGTTATTAAGTCGGGCTTAGTCATAATTTTAGGCCCGTGGGCTCGGGCTTGGGCCTAAAACATCGGGCTCGACTTTTTTCAGGCTGGGCTCGGGCTTTCTCAAAAAAGCCCAGCTCGAGCCCAAGCCCGAGCCCAAGCCCAAGCCCCGACTTGATACTATATATTAAATAATAAAAATATATATACAATATTTTTTCTTTATTATTCTTCTCTTTTTTTTTCAAGTAATAGTAAAATGTTTATTATTTTTGAGTTTTAAAGGTTTTAATATAAATAAAACACTTTTTTATTGAATAAAAAAATAAAAAAAAATATTTTCAAATTTATGATCCGGCTTGGGCCTGAATGTATTTTGTTAATACATATACAAAGCCTGAGCCATAAACATGTCTAATTATAAATAGTTTTATCTTGAAGATATGTCATGTGCAAATGCACGTACATATTTACCGGTGTTAGTATGTTATTAGGAAAATGGGCAGAAAATTCTATTTTACCCGTCTTCTAAATTTCATAAAATCATTAAACCTAGTCTAACAAATTTGTCCCCTTTTTCATCTTAAAATATGAAACGAATACAACAACAAAATCATCTAGAAGGGCAATTTGGGCTTTTAAAAATGTCTATTACATCGCATGGTGTGCATAGGGGCATTTTATGTCATGCCAATAAGAGTGTTTATTTGCTTAACTTGTGATGGTTAAAGGGGGGATTTGGCACAAAATGTAGTTTGGGTAATTAAGTGAAACACTTCGACATAGGTTAGGGGCATACCATCTTGAATTCACCCTTAAATAAATTAAAAGGTTAAATTACTTAAACCTCCTTTGCAGTTTTTGGCAACTGCTTTTAATCTCCCTAAACTTTGGCCTCTCCAAAAACCTCCATCCATATCCACATTTAAGATGAATAACACAATTTGATCCCTTTAATTTTAGTAAATAATAATAATAATATTAATAATAATGAAGGATTTGAAGTAGTAGTAGTAAAAAAAAAACAAAAATAGGTAGAGATTTGGTGATAGGGATGAAGCGCAAAAAGAGGGATTTTGTTTAAATAAATTTCCTCTATTTGCTTTAATTTTTTTGCTTCAATGATATTTTTATACCTATCTGATCAAAGGATATCTTAATCTTCTTATTCTTGGTTAAAATAAAAATTTTATTATGTTTAAAAGCATGACACCGTTTTTTATCCATTAATAATGTATAATTCATCTAAAAGAAGAAGAAAGCTCAATGCAGTGGCAATTCCGTAATTAGAGCCTACTTTCAAGTCTTAACTCATATCCCATGGATGGAAAACAAAACAGCGGACGAGCGGGAAGAAAAATGAATCTTCAATCCGAGTCATGTCTAGACAACCAATTAGAGTTCAATATTTGAAATCCCACGGACAGGAGCTTGTCCTGGGACAACGACGCGGATCAATAGCCCATCCAACGACGTACACTCTCGTTCCCAAACCTGGAGAAAGCTATAAAAGACTTCGCCCGGTTCTCATCTTCTCACAGAGAAAGCGCGAACCACTGTCCACAGGTCCCAAAGCGCAGAAACAGAGAGAAGAAGATGTCAGGAAGAGGAAAAGGAGGAAAGGGACTGGGAAAAGGAGGTGCGAAGAGGCATCGCAAGGTTCTGAGGGATAACATCCAGGGCATCACCAAGCCTGCAATCCGAAGGTTGGCGAGGCGTGGTGGAGTTAAGCGTATTAGCGGTCTGATCTATGAGGAGACTCGTGGTGTCCTCAAGATCTTTCTTGAGAACGTCATTCGTGATGCTGTCACTTATACCGAGCACGCTCGCCGGAAGACGGTCACTGCTATGGACGTTGTTTATGCTCTTAAGAGACAGGGTAGGACTCTTTACGGGTTCGGAGGTTAGGGTTTCTGGGGGGCTTTATGGTGTAAAAATTGGAATCTAGGGTTCGTTGTTTTATCGTCTGGGTTTCGTTGTTGGATGTATTTATTTAGTGTTCTTCTGACGAATCGATGAATGATAAATTGTTGTTTTTTGGTAATTTTGATTCTGTTCTTCTGGGTTTGTTTGTGGATTTTCTGTAAATTGTTAATTTGTTCGACTGGTTTTGTGTTTCTATTTCGCAAGAAATCCTTGGGATTATGCAAAAGCGGTGTAATTTGTGGCTCGCAAATCGGAATTGGGGGGGGGGGGGTTTGAATTCGAACTTCTAGGTAGTGGAAGATCTGGAGCTAGATCCTTCGTTCCCTCTGCTGTTGCACAGCAAATTTGAATTTGGGCCTTTCGGGTTTATTGACTGTGCCTGTGCGCATCTCGTCCCAACTCTCTCAGCTAAAAATCCGCCACATGAAAGTCCTCTTCAGACGTGGTTGTGGTAAGCGTGGGCCGGTGGGCGTGATTGTATTATTGGTCGAATCATTTTTGGTCTGGTCTTACATTCGTATCAGAAATAAATCAGTCACTAATATATCCAATTAGAACTGGGGTTTGACTATGATACGGAATATATAGCCAATTAGGTGTTTTGATTGGTTACAACTCTTTCCGTACCATTTCTTTTACGGTTTCAGTGCCACTGAACTTTCAATTGATCATTCTCAAGTTACGTCTCTCCATGATGACTTGATTGATTTTCACTTTTCATTTTTACTCTTTATGTTTTTTATTTTTTAAATTTTGTTTAATTAACAATAAACTAATTAAAATAATAATAAAATCAATGTGGAACCTACTCTTCCCCTTTCTCATGAAGCACCTACAATGAACCTACACGTGTATAGTATTGGATTATTTTCTCAAATTCAAATTATGGATTTTTTTACCCCTTTGCTTTTGTCATCGATCAATCAATTAGAATGATTAAGTGACTTTTTTTTATTTTTTTTCCTATTTTTAAGGTATTTTTCCCATTGCCCCTTTATTTTGACCGTCTCTATTAACGTAATAAGTTGTATTTGATTGGATAATGCTTTTAGGTTTATTATATTATTTTGTTTTAGAGTGTTTTTTTGGATGATCATTGGGCGAGTTTGATAATTTGACACCCTACCAATGTAATATTTTAGGGGTTTGGTACTTGGTAAGGCTATAGGGCTTTGGAATGTGTTGTGTTGGTAGATCTAGACTCTTTTATATAAATTAGATGGATGTTCGATTCAAATTTAAGTATAAACAAATCAGGATTAATCTATATCCAGACATTAGCTGTTGGATATGTAAATAATGACCCCACCATTGACGAGTATAACGATAGGAGGCAAAGGCCAAGTATTATTCACACATGATGCAAAGACAAATTCTAAAACTCAAATTCTCTCCTTTAAACCCCTCTTTCTATAGTGTATATCTTATCCATTCCCCCTAGTTCACATTAGGAAGGAGGAAGCAGAAATGGTCTCTCCTATCTTATACACCTCTCTTTAGAATGAAGAAAACAATATAAATTACAAAAAAACAAAGAAATACACAAAAATTTTGCAAAAAATATAGAAAATCATAAACATTTCTATACCATACTAAAAGAATGAGAATGTTGCAATTGGTTTGTTCAAAACACATTGATTTTATTTTTCAAATTTACCTTCAACTTTCTATTTTGTTTCCATTGTATATATTGTCGTTACAAGGTAATTGTGAAAAACATAAAGTGAAGAAAATAATATAAATTACAAAAAAAAACAAAGAAAATTTACAAAAAAACATAGAAAATCATAGAAGTTTTTATACCATACTAAAAAATGAGAATATTGCAATTTGGTCAAAACCCCTGATTTTACTTTCCAACTTTACCCTCAACTTTCTTTTTTTCCATTATATATATGTCATTGAAAAATAATTATGAAAAAACACATAAAATGAAGAAAATAATATAAATTACAAAAATACAAAGAAATACATAGAAAATTTACAAAAAATATAGAAAATCATAAAAATTGAAGAAAAATAACACAAATTACAAATCTATACCATACTAAAAAATGAGAATGTTGCAATTAGTTTGGTCAAAAGGCCTCGATTTTACTTTCCAACTTTACCTTCAACTTTCTATTTTTTTTCCTATTGTATATATTGTCATTGCAAAATAATTATGAAAAAAATAATATAAATTACAAAAAACAAAGAAAATAGAGAAAATTTACAAAAAATATAGAAAATCATAAAAATTGAAGAAAAAACATAAATTACAGAAAAATTGTAGAATAAAATAAAAATTTATATCTACTACCATATATAAAAATGAGAATGATTCCGTTAGTGTGGTCGAAAGACCCTGATTTTTCATATTAATTCTACCCCCTTAGTTATTTGGTTATTCCAACATATCCCAATTCTATATGAGGGTGTATCATAGTTGTTGGCCAAAAAAAAATCTATTTGTTTTTTTCTAAAAAGCCATTGGGTGGGTTAGGTACATAGGTTTGGGTTGAGCTTCAACCCAACCCACCTAACTCATCCATCAACTCGCTAATGACCTATTCTGGGTTCAACCGAAACCCATTATAACCCAATCCATTAATTTTTTACATAATACATAAATTCTAAAAAAATACACAAAAATATAAGTAAAGATAGAAAATGTAGAAAATAACATAAACAAAAGAACAAAAACAAAAATTCCAAAATGATTATGAAATAACACAGAAAACGAAGAAAATAATATATATTACAAAAAAAAACAAAGAAATACACAGAAAATTTGCAAAAAAAATGTAGAAATCATAAAATTTGATAAAAAATAATAGAAATTACAAATAACAAAGACAAACCATAAATTGCAGAAAAATGAAAATATAGAAATTTCATTCCATGGGCCCTAAACATGTTCGTCAATTAGGCTCAGGTCTTATAAGGGCATTTGGCAATTGAGACTATATGTTATTATGTGTGTGGTTGTTAAGTAGGGACTGTAAGTCATGTCCTCAGTCGTATGCAACACTGTGATACATTATGAATTGTTTGATTTGTTTTATTCTTGGACAAATGTCCGAAGGTGCTCAACATGCATAGAAAGTGTTTGTATACATGTTACTTTAGTGGTTGGTTGATAAATTTTGCTTCCAACTAATTTTTTTTATCTCTTAGTTAAAAAGTTATAAGAAAATATTTTTAGACTTAAGTGTAAGTTTTTTAATAGAGTCATCTTAGATAATGACTTCTGCTATTCAATGGTTACTTAAGAAATTAGCATAATAGCTTTGTTTACTTCTAACCATTAATAATAATTATTTTCATAGGTTTTAAGTTGTCACAAAACAGGACATCAATGAAGAGTAGTATCTCCTATTCTCTATAAATTTTGTGTTTCATTTTCAAATATTGCCATTTTGTAAGGATAGTTTTTTTTATGTATTATATAATTGTCTTAGAATTTGAGTGGTATGTGAACTTTCATCTATGCTTGAGATATAAAAGCATAGTCAAACATCGCCATCAATATCAAATACCCCGTGCATCGCACAAGTTATTCCACTAGTATAAAAAATTTTCGGGAAAGTCCGAATAGGCCCAATGCAGATTTCTGAATTCCACTGCAGAACTAAAAACATTCAAAATGTCAAAAACTTCCATTGAATTGTACTTTGGCCTAGAACTTCTGACCCTGGGCTGAACTGTCATTCTCCCAATCAATTTTGACTCATTTTCTGGTGGCGAGTAGATGGAGAAGGATATTTTTGATATTATATAATGTTTACCTAGATGGATAATGTCTATTTTTGAATAATTGAAAGTTCAATGTATTTATGCCATCTGTCACTACCCCAAATACCATTTGCAATTGGGCTTGTCACTACCTCAAATACTATTTTCACATTTTGAATGTTTATAGCTCTGTATTTGAAACCGATGCCTCTTTGTAGAAAGGGATTTTTGGACTGCAATCCCCCTCATAAATCTGATTTGCAGCCCCCCTATAAACCGCATACTGCCCGCGAAATTGGCATCAATATCCACTGTCAGGGTTCAGTCCACCCCTAGAGTGGAGCTCTAGGTTTCTAGGGGTGGATTGAACTATAAAAACCCCTTTTAGAAAATGTTAACACATCATGAAAAACAGTGTCACATCACTATCATATTCGTTTAGACAATGCTTGATTGGATATGTTTTTTTTGGATAAGTAGATTGTACTCCGCTCAGAAATCTAAAATTACACCCACCTCTTAGTCTACCAGTAGCCCCCCTATAAACCACATCCTGCCTGTGGCCTGTGTGGATTAGGCATCAATCCACGATCAGGATTCATTCTACCCCTAGGGTGGAGCTAAGATTTCTAGGGGTGAATTGAACAGTTAAACCCCCCTTTTTCCGAAAAACGGTTTCTTAGTTCACGCTTTGGAGATTGGGAAATTTGTGAAAACATTAATTTTGGTATTTTCTCGTTTTTTATTATTGCTGGAATAATATGTTGATGTGGCATTGAAAAATGCTTATATGATAACAACTAACAATAGTCTCGAATAAAAAAATAATAAAAAACACTTTCTAAAATAATGGCATACCAATGCAAGACTGTTCTCTTAACAAACGCCTCTCAAGAAATGACATTGGTTCCAAACATGGCTTAAATTGTTCATTTTTAGAATCATTTAGGATATATGGCAAATTAGTACACGGTACTTTGGGCTAGCCTTACTTTAGTACCCAAACTTCAAAATGTACCATTTTAGTACTTGAACTCTTGAAAATTGTCAATTAATTAATGTTAGATGGCATGCCAAAAGACACAAATACCCTTGACTTTTGAATAAGCAAGAAAAACATAATTTTGAAATGGCCAAAATATTTTTGCTACAATTTGGCACCACTATTCACTTTATGCCTTAATCTTGCTGAAGAACCAATGCTTCCCACGGGAGAAGCTACACAGAAAAACGTCACTAGGAAGAAGATGCCATTTTCAGAGAAGGAGAATTAAAAAGAAATTTAAGTTGTTGTTGGAGAAGATTGAGTAATTTTTGCAATTGTTGTGGAATAATCAAGGTAAATTCATAGTTGTCAAGGCGATGCTTAGGCGATAAGGCATTTTTGAAGGGTCACCTCGCCCAAACGCCTACATATTTATACGTAAAACACCACAGAATATTTTATATTTATATTTTATATTATTAATAGTAATA